GGGGCTTCGTCATGTGCCCCGCCCCCCTGTACCTCACTCAGGGGAACTGCGATCCCCTGCGATCTCCCCCGAAATGACCTCTGCATACACACACGGACACACACACTGGGGACACAAGAGGGAACAAGAGGAATAATGATTAAAAATATACTGAAACGGTGTTGTTTTAATCTGCGCAGCCAGATCTCCATTGGCCAATCAGATGCCCTGCTGGGCAGGACCCCACCCACGTTCTAAAAACATTGGAGGGCGCCAGCAATGGCAACAGTGGGCACCACGGTACCCGCGGGCACAACGTTGGGATCAGTGTTCCCTCTACGCTGAGTCAGTGTGAGCCAGCTCACAGTTCTTTAGCTTCCGGCTCACACGTTTTTGTCTTAGCTCAGGAAGGACGGCCCCAGAGGAAACTAACTGATGTAGTGGCCAAATCAGCTTGCTCACAACTTGAATGCCAGTAAGCTCACCAAGTGGAATTTTTTGCTCACAAGACTCCACAGCTTAGAGTGAGGCATTGGTTGGGATCCCCTGTCCTAGTGGGCGTGGCGACCAGCTTGCCCATGGAAGCGGGGGAGATCATCGGGGCATGAGGGGTCCTTTGGGCTGGACAAGGGGTTATCCTCTGGCGGCATACTCACGTGGAGAATCAACTTTTCTTCATAGGGGCTTTTGAGCTTTCCAAAAGCGTCTGAGCGGCCCCCAGAACCAGATGGAATCACGTTCCTATCACACGGGGCTGCTCTTACCTCTTGAGCATTAGCGGTGCCCGTTTTGTAGGCGATGCGCAGCTCTGCCTTCCCCAGAATGTCTTTGCGTTTTCTTTTTCTCTCCATCCTCCCCCTCCTGCCTCTTGTATCCCTGTTTGGTCGCTGACAATTCTATGTCGTCTCTTACGGCCCAGGCGGCCAGGACTGCAGAAGGCGAAGGGAAGCACAAGTTCTTCACCCAGAACATCAACAACATCTTGTTAGAGTAAGTCCTCTTTCTGAATCCTTCATCACTGAGCATAATCTTTACCCGGGGGGACAGGACCAGTTTTCAGTAGTTTAGGAAATCTTGCTGTAGACGGCGCGGCGGTGAAGTGAATTGAGTACGGTTGCTTTGCTTGGCAAATTATCTGCCTCCTCGCTTATTTAGGAAGCGCCTCCGGCGTTCTAGGCGCCGTATAATTCTTCCATGCAGAACTCATTTGGGAGTCTACCAAGTTCACTGGAGGGATTTTCACGGTAGCGGAGGAGAAGCCAGGACAGACATGATTTTATCTTCTTGACCGGCCAAACATTTTTCAGTGTCTTTACCTTGGATTCTCTCGCGCTAGGGTAGAAGGGTCTGGGCGACTGGGGGGGGGAGTCCATGCTAAAAACATCGTCCTTCTGTTGCTTTCAGCATTGAGCTGCAAACCCAGGAATTGAACAGCCAGATCCGGTCCGGGGTGTACGCTCACCTGGCCTCCTTCCTTCCCTGCAGCAAAGATACCCTGGTCAAACGGGCCCGCAGGCTGTACCTCTACGAGCAGGTGGGGATTTTGGAAGAGCCGTGACATTGGGTGGCACGAGGGATAGCGGCCACGAATAAAGGAAGGGAAATTTTGAGCCCAGAAATGGCAGGAGAAGTCACGGATGTGGTTCCCCGTGGTTTGGTATCTGAAGGAGTGAGCCGTGACTCACGAAAGCTCATCCCCTGGCGCAAATTTGTTAGTCTTTTAAGGTGCTCCTGGACACTTGCTCCTGTTTCCTGCTGCAGACCAAGGCTCCCTCCAAGCTGTGGAGTCTTGTGAGCAAAAGTTCTACTTGGTGAGCTGCTGGCATGAAAGCTGTAAGGGAGCAAATTGGCTACTGCATAAATCAGTTAGCTCTGGAGCCCATCCCTTCCTGAGCCAAGACAAAAATGTGTGAGCTGGAGGCTAAAAAACTGTGAGCTAGCTCACACTGAACTCAGCTTAGAGGGAACACTGCTGCAGACAGGCTAACATGGCTACCCATCTTTTTTTTTCCAAAGACAATTTATTAGGATATATATAAAAAATTCAAACATATATCAAAACATACAGTTATATATCCATCCCTCCTTCCTTCCCCCCCCCCTTTTTCGGCTTCCTACAGTGCTCCAACCTCCAGCCCAATTCTTACATTTTCTCCATACCTCCTTTTCCCCTTATTCCCATCCACAGGTAACCTACCCTTCAGCTGTTATTCTTATACATTTATCTATTTACTACTATCCTTTAATTTTCAGTAGTTCTCAAAGCAAAGCAAATTGTCCTTTACATCCCAGTATTTCTCCAAATAGTCTTTAAAGTCTTTCCAGTCTGCAAAAAATTCTTCTGCTTCCAAACTATTAAGTTTCCTTGTCATTTTATCCATTTACTTGGCTTCCCGTCTTGAGCTGTCTCGTGGTTTTGGGTTAGGGGGGAACTTCAGTATCGATACGCGGACACCCTCGTTGGCCCTGCCGTGAGAGGAAAGGCTGATACAAAGATTCTCCCCTGCAGAGGCTGACCTGGGTTTCTTTCCCTTTACACTG